ACGTCAAATAATTATAATACAAATAATAGCAATAATAATAATAATGATAATATTATTATTATTGCTAATTATTGCTTATTGTTGGATTGTTTTCAAAATTATCTTTATGGTCTTTTAAGGTGATAATACAATTGGAAATTGATATTAATACATTGATATTAATACAGCAAGTTTGAGGTTGGTTTATACCGTGACGATGGATTAGCAGTTTTTAGGAATAAAAGCGGCCCTCAAATGGAAAAAATAAAAAAGCATCTTTCCGAAATATTTAAATACAATGGCTTACGGATTTCTATACAATGCAACATGAAAATTGTCAACTACCTCGACGTCACTCTAAATCTTAGTGAGTGCACCTTTAAACCTTATCTCAAACCTGATAATACATTAAATTATATCCATGCTGATTCAAATCACCCTCCAAGTATACTAAAATAAATACCACACTCGGTTGAACTTAGATTATCTACAAATTCTTCTACCAAAGAAATATTTCAACATGCTGTTCCTCTATATAATGAGGCTTTATTAAAGTCTGGTTTTGAATGTAATCTAACATATAATCCTAAAGCAATATCAACTAAAAAACGGAACAGAGCACGCAACATCATTTGGTTTAATTCTCCATTTAGCAAAAATGTTAGCACCAACGTGGGAAAATGTTTTTTGAAATTAATTGGCAAACATTTTCCTAATAATAACAAACTACATAAAATCTTTAACAGGAACACAGTCAAAGTTAGCTACAGTTGTATGCCAAGTGTGAAATCGATCATAAATTCGCACAACAAAAACATTTTACAACGATACAAACTCTAATCAAGAAAATTGTAACTGCTTAGATAAAAATTTCTGCCCGTTGTCCAATAGATGTTTAACAAGCAACATTGTATACCAAGCAACTGTAACCACCACTAGTGATTCATCTCCTAACGAAAAATCCTACATCGGTGTAAATGAGACTTCTTTTAAATTGAGATACGCTAACCACGTTAAATCTCTTAACATCCCAAAATACAAAAAATGATACTGAGCTGTCAAAGCAGGTATGGAAAATAAAAGAAGCCAATTTAGTTCCTATAGTTAAGTGGAAAATTCTCAGGCGATGTAAAGCATATAATCCTACATCCAAATCTTGTAAATTATGTCTCACCGAAAAATATGAAATCCTAAATTATAAAAATACTAATCTACTAAATAAAAGGAGTGAGATTGTTTCTAAGTGCAGACATAGAAACAGATTCCTCCTTTCTCAACTTGACACTGGCGATTAGAATAGATGTTTTTTCCATAATATTTTTATTATTGTTATTATTATTGTTGTTACTATTATTGCTATTATTATTATTATTATTATTATTATTGTTATTATTATTATTATTATTATCATTATTATTATTATTGCTATTATTTGTATTATAATTATTTGACGTCAGAACTCATTCCATTGTTTTTTTTGAATTTTGTAACGGTTTTTTAATTGTATTTTTGAACGGTTTTTTCTTGATTTAAATATATGGCTGATGAGTGCCGAAAACGGCATGAAACTTTAAGTACCGTAAAAAAGTTGTTTTTTCTCATCTAACCTTTTATTTATTTATTGATCTATTTTGTGATTATTTCACTTTATATTGATCACTCTCAAATCGAAAAAGAGTTGATTATTATCAAATAATCAAATAATCAAAACAACAATATATATATGTATATATATATATATATATATATATATATATATATATATATATATATATATATATATATATATATATATACACATATATATATATTAATCATTATAGCTGTTTGTTCCTTTAATAACACTCTTTAGACTTTGACAGTACGCGATAAACCTTGCTTTCATTTTACATATTAGAAATATTATATAATAGTTTATCTGCTAAAAATAATAACTTACACGGAATAGTGATATAAAATTGTGTAATATTTAAGTTTGTGTTACTAAATGATGTTTTTATCATCACCTAAAGTAACTGTCGTTTTTCAGTTTTAATGATCAGAATAAGAAATCACAAATTTACCTTTGTTATCACAATGTTACCTTTTTGTAATAGTTTATAACTTGAATTATTTAATATAAATATGAAAATAATTAAATCAGGTGTAAGTTTTTCACTTGGCTTATATATGTGTGTGTGCATATATATATATATATATATATATATATATATATATATATATATATATATATATATATATATATATATATATATATATATATATATATATATATATATATATATATATTTAAATTCATTTAACATTTAGGTTGTTTCAGATGATGAAAAAGATCACGTTGAAATGCTGTCTTTAGCACTAAGTAATAATTTGAGTCGAGCTTTGCTGTGCTGAAAGTCACCGTCATTAAAACACAAGTACCTTATGTAATAATCGGATTTAGTAAAATAACTTGCAATAAAGTTCTATCCTTTTGAAATCATTTATATTGCTAATATGCAAGTTGCATTTATTTTTTATTAACATAGTCATTCTGTTATGAAAAACTTACAGCTATTCCGTCTGATCTGCTAACGACAAGCAGTTTAAATTGAAATTCAATTTTACAATTTTTTGAAATGATGCAACAACTACAGTGAAGCAGCGTTTGCTGTTTTCATTTCATTTAACTTTTAGTTTGAATGAAATAATATTTTATGAAATCTTTGGGTTAGCGTACAGATTTTTTATAAATTTTATTTGGTAGTTTTGTTGTTGATTTATTTTGGTTGACTCAGAGCGCTTAAAATAATTAGTTCATTTAATTGTTTATTTTGGATAATTTAAATTTTTTGTTAATTAAAAAATTGATTCCTTCTAAAAGCACTATCGCTTCTATTTGCTTCGTGAGTAAAAGCGATAGTATGGAAAAGTTTCGTCTATGTATTGAATCTGTAGTCGTAACTGGGTAGGTTTTTTAGGTCAAATGATTTTTCTGTTTATAACTGCGCTAAAACGCATTGTTAATATAGTCGGTCCCGCCACTAAGTGCAAACTAGCGTAAAAACTATTCAGTGCATATTACCATCAGTTCGCCAAAAGAGTTGACAAACACTGGCATATATGGGATCTTCATTACAAAATCTATAATAGTTTTGTTTGTCATATTTCTGTTGATGGTACCTGAAAAGAGATGTCACCAGCGCTATTATCATTTCAGTGTCTAGAGAAAATGAAAAATTTCTTGATTCGATTGTGCTGGCTAAAGTCAACACGAGAATACGATAATTAGAATGTAATCATATTTGCGTGGCTAACCACAAAAAACTTCCTTAGTGCTTTTATGAGTATTGCTCGAATAGAAAATATAAGTTCAGTAAACTTCCGGTTATTCGAACCTCCTAGGGGAGTAAGAATTTACTTCGAATAACTGAAAACCCTCTTTAAAGTGACTTATTTCAAGTAACAATCAATTTTTTTTTTTTAATTTTTATATTAGGTTCTCCAAGAGGTCGTAATGGTAAATACGTTAATACGTTCACACTTCCTTCTTTGCCGGTGGCGGAAAACATGCTCACCGCTCGAGTTGAATCCTGTACCGCTTGCTTCTGAGGCAAATACGTTAACTATTGCGTTACGTCTACTAAATTTTTTTTCAACAAAAATAGATAGTAAAATGGAAATATGCTAAAAATTGTCAATCGTTTTCCAAAAATCGAAGTCAAAAAATCACAAAACTTTTAACTTTTCACAGACTTATACTTACTGATAAAGTCTTCTTTATGTTTAATCCAGTAAGTTTAAGATTGTTAGGAACACTAAACCTTTTGGCTACGTTTTTCTTTTAATTATTTTTTAAACATTTTCTTTACATATATAATTCATGAGTCACTGCAAGGCCTAGGCCGTTACATAAGTGAGATCAGACTCAAAATTATTCTAAGCAATCAAAAAGAGAAAACTGACAGGAAAAATGACAGGAGTACAAACTTGAGTCGTCCGCAAACAGAACGACTTTAGATGTAAGGTTACCAGAAAAATCATTAGTGTAAAAAAGAAACAATACAGGACCAAGTACAAAAACCTTGAGGTACCCTAGAAATTACTAGAAATGGAAAGGGTTTGGTCTTAAAAAATTTCCAAGATATGCCATATGAATTAAGTCAATGGAGAAAACCAGACATGCCAGACTATAAAAAGCTCTAGAGCAATAACCCTTGTCTCACTACCTCTATCTAATGTACGGTAGAAACTTTTAGTCACAGTAGCTAGCAAGTCAGTCGTTGGACGAGATGATCAAAGACGTATCGATTGTCTGACAGTAAGTTCTTAGACTCAAGATAGGATGTGAGAAATTTGTTGATCAAAGACTCAAAGACCTTGCTATAACAAGAAGACTCGTCGGACGATTATTTGAGGAGTCAGAATGTTTTCCAGAGTTTTTGAAAATTGGAACCACAGATGCCGTTTTCTGTCAGGCAGGAAAAAAAGATTCAGTTACGCACTTATTAGATAGTTTAGAGAGAATTGAAGAGTGTCTGGAGAACACTTTTGTAAGGCTGTGTTTGTAAGGTGTGTTTTGTAAGGCTGGACAGCAGGATTTTTGTCCAGACCACAAGCTGTAGAAAAGTTTAATTGAGAAATGACTTTAGCAACGGAATTCAGAGTGATTTAAATGTCTAACAATGGGTTAACCTGTTTAAACCAGAATTATAGAATGAGAATGTCCATATGATTCAAGAGTTGAATTAGATAAAAAGTTTTTTGAAAATAGTTCTGCCTCATTCTTGGGAGAGATAATATGATCAGACCCATGAAACAGAGATGGAATATTAGACTTACCTTTTTTAAATAACACTGTTAAAAATATTCCACGAAGAATTACGCGATGAAAAATTTATAGAGATCATTGCATGGTCGTAACTATCTAAAAGAGACTAAAGAGAAACTGAACATAAGCTGAGGTTAAAGACATAAATCATGCGAAGGTAAATAGTAATTAGGGTTGTCTGGAAACGACTCACAAAGTTAACTATCTATCTTAATTATATCTAAAAGTGCGTTTTAAATTAGTCTCACAAAGAGCAAGTCTGGTGAATTTTGCAAGAGGTAAAATTAAAATGATTGAAAGTTACTTTAAATACAAGAAATAATTATGAACAATATATTGAAACAGTTATGTGGTTGAGGTGGTTTTTTATGTTAAATATTTTGGGTTACTTTGGGCATGGTTTAATTTAAGAGATTCAAATATAGAGTTAAGGACTCATATGCTTTAATAGATAGAGTGATGGCCTCGACAAAGCTCACCAAAAACACTAACAGGGACACTATCTATGCGCAACATGGCACTATTAATACTCTATTACTTTACAATTATTGATGGTATCCGTCTCTCTAAGAACTAACACAAAGTTTGGAATTCGGTCTTTGCTGGAAAAAGCAAACCCTACACGACAGTAAGATTTGGGGCAAGTAGTACTGGTTTACATGATACTAGTAGCAGGGTTATGACCCTGAACTTTATTTAACCTTTATTATAGTTTTACAAGTATTTTCTGTTTTTTTGTGTGACTTAATTGGTGTTTTATTTTTTAGTACGCCCTCCCCCATTTTAACTCAGTTTATCTTATAAATATATCATTTAAGTACGCATAAACGTAAATGAACACAATAGATATACATAAATGTTAAATAAAACAAAAATAACTTTAAAATATAAAACTAAGTTTTCCATTGAGAGAATGATCTTTTTTAATTTTCTATAAAATTAGAAGTTCCACAAAATTTACCCAATTTAGTTTTGAAAACAGGTTGTATGATAAAATTTCGTTATTAATTGTGTTAGTTTGCATTGTATTAATTGAATTAATAAAAACTATGCGCTTGTATTACTTGGTATTCAATATCTGCTTTTTAAGATTAAACTTTTTCTCTAAATATTTTTTTCTTAACTATATGCCGCGCTAAGAAAATCAGAGGTAAATATCTAGTAAAAAAGACCCGGGCTGTTACACATGCAAATGAACTGTTAAATATGCATAAATAGACACTGTTACATATATGTCATATATGTAACAGCAGCGCCCAAAGTGAGGCAGGTTGCCACTCCGTCACTTTTTAATAAACCTCCTAATATAACAATAATTTAGCTGTATAATATTTTTAACTTAATGAAAACCAGCCCATTACATTTTATTTCTCCACTTCAAGCAAGTCTGATTTATGCATATGTAGCAAATTAGACATGTATATACAAACCAGAAATTTATGTAACAGTATCTGATTTGTAAATTAGATACTGTTCACGTGCTATGTTTACAAATAGAGTCATTTTATATGCATTTTTTCATAAGCTAGAGAAATTAAAGTTACCAGATTTTTCTTACGACTTCAGGATTCTATACTTAGATTTTTAGCAAAAACAAAACATTTAACCTTGAATAAAATTGAAATTCCTGCGTTAATAACGTTCTTTTTGTTTGTTTGATTAAAGTAGCTTTATTTGTTTTGTTTGATTTGACAATTATTGAAAAGCTCTTAATAACGTTTGATTGTTTTAATTGTTTTGAATGTTTTAATTACTTTTTAAAAAGTTTTTAATTTAATGCACAGTTTGAAATCAATGTTTTAATAAACGAATGCGAACCCTTTTATTGGTGAACAACCATTGGTTCGTTAAGCTCAAGTCGCTGTGCGTCTTATACTTTATGGGTATTTTTTACGCATGGTTGCTACAGGAAATGGTTAAACTACACGCACCATGAGTGCGGCGGCAAGTTGCTTTGCTTCTTGCAAAAATAATTTAATTTTAAAATAAAAAAAGTTGGCAAAAAGATTTTTGGGAATGATTTTATCGAAGAGGAAGAAGAAAGGTTACCATTTTGACAACGTTCTTTAAAAATGATTTTAAGGATTAAAAGCTCTGAAAAATTAAAGTGATGTCATTCTTATTGTTAATTATTTTGGTAACTGTGTTGCATTGGGAGCTATTTTTTTATATTTAAAAACAGTGATATCAAAGGTATTATATAAAAAGACAACGTACCGTAATACGTAAATAAATATTAGTTGACACCTAAACTTAATTAAAAAAAAATTGTTTCTTTAAAAAATCTGACTGAGGTCGCACTAAAGTCACTCGAAAATAGAATAGACTATGAATACTTGTTTATGAACGAGTTAAAAGTGCGTTAACATGCGTTGGATTGTATTATTCTTTTCGAGTCTTTGCGTAATGCTTAGCAACGGTAAGTTATTGTTTGGATATTAAGTTTATATCAATTAAAAATGTACAAAACCAAGCATTTATTAATATATATAGTATATAAAAATTCCTGCAAATGATAATTAACAAATTATAGTTTTTAATATTAAATAGTTGTAAACTTTAGCACACAGATATGTCGTTACCACATATACTGGGGATAGGTTTGGAGCAGGAACAGATGCTCGAGTATTTGTAAAATTCTACGGAACAAAGGGCGTCTCTGAGGAAAAGGAATTAGAATCTTCTGGAAGAGACAACTTTGAAAGAGGGCAGTAAGTAATGTTTATTATCACTGATCTATTTATAGTTTCGGTTAATCCATTCCTTATCTCTATCAGTTTACATATCTTATTATTATTAAGTAAATAGCCTTTGCAATAAAAAGTTTAGTAATATACTTGAAACAAGTTGTAACAGACCTCATTAGAATATTTTGAATTCAAACCTCATAAAAACAAGCTGCATTTATTTTGATTGTAGCATGGCCTACTTAAATTTAATTTTTTAAAATTTAAATAGGTCAAGATTGTAAAAGTTACAAAACTGAATTTAGTGTAGCTTAAATGTATATTGGTACAGTTTATACAAAAAAATATTTGATACAGTTCACATTTAATAACAAGTTAATACTTTCAACACCAAATTAATTATGCCATATAAAAAAGTAATTTATGAATAGTGGATGTCTGGTTCTAACAAGTCACTTCTATTGAAATTGAAAACTTACAAGATCTTGCAAAGAATTATGAGTTTAGAGCAATTGCAAGTTTTTTGTTTTCATCATCGAAAATAAATTCATCGAGAACAAATTTATATCAACAAAAGAGTTGGAAAAGTAGAGTTTTTCAAGATTTTCTACGTTGTTGCACGCAACATTTTATATCGTTGCAGAATCTAAATTGTACCAAAAATGTTTTTAGTGATACCTCAATTTGTACAGTACGTCAATGTTTTGAAAAAAGTTTATTTTTAATTTTTTTTTTTACGTCTGATGGATGGTTTCTAGAAATCAAATTGAAATATACACACCCACACACACACACACACACGAATAATAGTTCGCAGGTGGCATTTATGATTTATATCATTATTAAAAGGATGTCATATTTTTAAAAGTAATTTACCTTCGGAACCACTTTGCTTTATAAATAAGTAGCAGTAAGCTTTATAAATAAGTTTTGATGAATTTCTTTATAATAAAGTGTATTCGGCAAGAGCTTGATAACAGATCTTATAGTTGCAGAACTTATGCAGATTTAATATCCGCCATTATGATATTAGTAATGCCGCCATTATTAAATCACTAAAATATATAACAATACCACTTTTACATGTTTTTAATTTATCTTTAAAATATGGAGTTTTTCCTGAAAAACTAAAAAGTGAAAAGGTTACCAACTTTTAAAACGGTGATCCTTCAGATATTTCCAACTACAGACCGATCTCAGTTATTAGTTGTTTTTCCAAGATTTTGGAGCGTGTAATGTATAATTGACGTTATTCTTTCTTAAATATAAATAATATTCTTTACAATAAACAATTTGGGTTTAAATCTGGTCATTCGACCGATCACACAATAATTAATCTTGTACATGAATTATTTAAAGCTTTTGATGAAAAAAAAAATTACTTTAGGTATCTTTATTAATCTAAACAAAGCGTTTGATACTGTAGATCATAATATTCTCCTATATTAACTTAAAAATTATGGTAAAATTATAAATTCTAACTAAGATTGGTTTAAAAGTTATTTAAAGAATAGGAAACAATACATTTTATATGGTGGCGAAAAAACAAATTGAATGACAATTAACTGCTGAGTCCCCCAAGGATCAATTGTAGGACCGCTTTTATTTCTCATTGATATAAATGACTTGAGTAAATTTTTCAATATCTTAAATTCAATTTTATTTGCCGACGATACTAATGTATTTTATTCTAATAAAGATATTAATATTTTATTTACAATAGTGAACAAAGAGCTTATGAAATTAGGCGAATGATTTAAATCGAATAAATAGTCCTTAAATATTAAAAAAACAAAATATACTTTCTTCCATCGTCTTCATGATAAAGACAACATTCCCTTAAAACTTTCTTAGCTTTTTATTAATAACTCTTATGTCAAAGGAGAGCGTTCTTTGTTGTTTCTAGGTGTAGTTTTAGATAAAAATGTGACATGGAAGGAGCACATACATTTTATCCAAAATAAAATCTCAAAAAATATAGGCCTTTAATACAAAGAAAAATAGTTGTTAAACCGAAATTCTTTGAAATTAATTTACTTTTCTTTTATTCATTGCTATCTAAATTACGCCAGCTATGCTTGGTGCAGCACCAATGTATTTAAAAATAAAAAGCTTCTAGTTAAACAAAAACACCCTGTAAGAATTATTGGAAACTTGGATCGCTTCTTGCACACTAAAATTCTTTTACATAAATTCAAAATACTCAAAGTATTTTAACTTAATCTATATCATATTCGCATATTTATGCTCAAAGTAAATAATAAAGTTGCACCCATTTTATTCAACTCATTTTTTGAAAAAATAAATCATTTATAACCAACAAGATTTTCAAACAACAGTTATATTCAACCAAAAATATAAAATTCTATATATTCAACCAAAAATATAAGATTGATTTTATTGTACAAAACGCTTCAGAAGTTCATACGTTTCTTTTTATAATTAATTAAAATTTAATTATTATTCATTTTGTTACCATGGCAAACTTATATATCTGTTGCAAAATGTGATGCTTCAACCAAATTAGATTCACTGCTCCTTTTTTTAAGATTTTCGGTTAAAGTTATTTTTACAGTTTTTTTTTAGATAGTCTTTCATGACGACACGATTTTTAAAGTAGGAAGGGGGGTATAATCGCAATTTCTTAAAAACAATCCTTTACGTCTTAAAATTTCTTATTATAAAAAAAAACCTTTATAAAAATGTGGGGGTGGCACGTGCCTCCCAACGTTGCGACGTTGGGGCAGAATAGCTTTAAAACTGGACAAAAGTAATTTTTTTTAATTCTGGATTAAGTTAAATAGTTATTTTAAGGGTACTTTTTAGACTATAGCACTCCATAGATTTTAAAACATTTATTTACAACTTACAATTGTCAGACGTTTTTAATGTATTATCTAGTAATTTCGAGTAAAGTTTTTTAAAAAACTGGTAAGTAATAATAGAAAAAAAAAAGAAAATCTAAAGCTTGCTTGAATAAATAATATTAAAACGTATTCTTATTGTTTCACTAAAATAAATTACTGTAATTCCAATTTAATGTAAAAAGTCATTCAAAAAAAGTTACTCGAAAACTCGATTAGTTTTATTCATTTAAATTTTTTTTTTTTTTTCATTTTTTATTTATTTTGCCGTTGATAAATATTACAAAAAAGAAATTACAATAAAAGAAAATCCTGGCCGGAGCAAGAAGAAGGAAGTTGTCTTATCACCGAGCCATTTTATCAATAAATGATAAAAGACAAAAAGACAGTATAAATACAAAAACAAAAACAAAAATACTTCAGCAATAAAATAATTTGTTGCTAACAATCTTCCAGCAGAATAACTTTAAAAATAAAAAAGTAAAAACGACAGAAAATCATGAAAGTTATAAAAACAAAAAAACAAAAAAATGCGTTGTTTAATTAAAAAAAAAGAAGCAATATATGTAAACATAAGTATTTGGGCTGATTATTTAATATCATCAAAAATATGAACGAAAAAGACAATTTTATTTTCGTTATCTTTTATACTAATGGTTTGAAACCATTTTAATAAAAGCTAAAGAAAGTGTTAAAGATTTAATTTATTTTTAAGTGATTTAGTTTAAATTGTTTTCAAAAAAGGTATTTGAAATAGGTCTCAATAAGTGCCAAAAAAGAAATAATAAAGTTTTACAATCTGAATCATTAGCAATTTTATAAAAAAATAATTTTTTGAAACTGTACCAAAGTGGAGGACATAAACAAAAAGCGCATTGTTTGAAAAAATCAAATAAAATAAAACATTTTAAGTGTACTTTTATTAAAGACCTATTAATAGCACTTTAAAATTATTTTTACGTTAGCAAAAGATAGCTGCAAACCTAAAATTGAAGAGTCCCTGGAAAAAATTTGGAACTTTTAACAAACTTCAGCTTTAACACTAAAAAAAAAAAGTTCTAATAACTCGCGCAAACGAGTTATTTTTTTAAACAAAAAAATTGAGCTAGGTTATAGGTTCTACAGGGTTAAAGGTCAGTTCTACCCTAAAACAAACATGTGGATAAGATTGGACTAGAGACTCTTTTATACATTATTAAAAAATGTTTCATAGCGCCTTTTTTCATTTTTGTAAAATGTCCAATTTTGAAGCAATTCTGCCTCATTGTGCATCGTCAGCCTTGTCCTGTGGGTTGATAAAAACCGTTGAAAACGAATTCTAAGTTGGATCTTTTTTTATTTTTTTATTTTTTTTTCCAAAAAAGTTAGGCTGTTCGAAAATTATGTTACGCTAAAATTTAACATTCAAATAGACACAGAAGAAAATTTTCTTTCACTTAAAATCCTACAATTACTCTCTTTTTCGCTTTATTATCAATATGGTTTCGCGCAAGAGAGATAAATATCTACTACTATTTTTATTACGCAAGAGAGATAAATATCTACTACTATCTAAAATGCGCAAGAGAGATAAATATCTACTATTATTTAAAATAGTAGTAGATATTTATCTCTCTTGCGCATAACCATATTGATAATAAAGCGAAAGAGAGAGTAATTGTAAGATTTTAAGTGAAAGAGAATTTTCTTCTGTGTCTATTTGAATGTTAAATTTTAGCGTGACATAATTTTCGAACAGCCCTTACTTTTTTAGAAAAAAAATAAAAAAATGAAAAGAGATCCAACTTAGAATACGTTTTCAACGGTTTTAATCAACCCCCAGGATAAGGCTGACGATGCACAGTGGAGCAGAATTGCAAATTATGAATTGCTAAATTAAAAATAGAAATAGTCTATTTATATATTATTTTGCAATTCATAATTTGCAAACGAACAGTCTAATGAGGGGGTTCTAGAGGCAGGGCCGCCGAGAGCCGTCATGCCGCCTGGGACAGCAACCGTGATTGGCGCCCTTATTTATCAAAACTTCCTTTATTATAGATGAATTACAATTTTTTTTATGGTACCTTGTTTTCATTTGGCGCCCCCTGGATATCTGCCACCCGGGACAAACTGTTCTTTTCGCACCTGATTATGTGAAACTTCCATCCTAGTGAAATC